TAAGCTTTAATTGCAAGAAAAAGATAAAAGACCTAGGGAGGGAAACATAGAAAGGGATAATTGGTCTGTTAATGACTGCAGTCCACATTGTATTACACAAGAAAAATGGTACTTGCATGGTCCAAAAAAGCAACACAGTCTATTTGGTAAAACATTCATATTTATTCAAGAGAGGAAAAATTATAATAACCCTTTTAATTTTCCTTCATTACATATCATTGGCTCAATCAACCATTATGTACACACACACATACATATACACACATATGTACAGTACAGTTCTAATACGTTACCGCTTTCTCATTTTGGCTTCTCTTAAGATTTATGGCTGTTAAATTTAATTTGTTTGCTGTACATAGCATTTTCTCCCCTTTACAGCAGCATGCTCTTTTGAATCTGAACGTTCTTCTGTGTTTGCCCCATTTCAGTATTGCTTACTAACATTTACTATATTTTGCTTTTTTTTTTTTATTTTGCTGACAAAGTTGCATTGATGAAAGCTGACTTGCAAGGTAGATAGCCCTGTGTGTATTCAACAAGACTGAAACCCCATACTACACAGTGGAAAACCTAAAATAACTGTTTTTTACATTTTTTCTGTAACTGTTATTTGGGTTCCAATTTCATTTTTTTTTCCCTTCTTGAAACCTCCTTTTGCAGCAGAGTTTGCATAAGGCTTTCAGTCTTGAACTTGTTTGTATAGTGATTGCCTTTAGTGCTTCAATCATACTTCTTTAGTTCTCTGTTTTCCAGTGTTCTAGTTATGATTCTTTAGAACCAGACTAGCATTCTTTTGACTTGTATGTTCAATGGGGGCATGCCATCTATCTGGAGTTTTTCCATTTTCTGTTTAATTGCATGAGATCGTTAAAGCATGTGAATTGATACTTGCCAACATACCTATCCAAAACACCCAGCAATCATAACTTTATCCATAGTTTGGGCAGGGAAACATCTGGAACTTCTAGGGCATTTCTGTATAACTCTCTTTGGTTATTTTGCCAATCTTTATCTCAATTTCATGAAGTTATAATCTCCATTTTTCATGGTGCTTCTATTTCATTGGTCTGAAGTTAAGGAGATCCATTCATTTTCTAAAAATCCAAATGGTGACAGAGAGTTATTGATGATGGAGTGAGATTACCTGCTACCATGATCATATTGGAAGCTATGCACTTGCTTTTACTATTTGTTGGTTAAGCTTACTACTATCATGTATTTTGTCATATACTTGAAACTTAAGAAAACCTTCATGTTACAGCTTCTCAGCTCCTAATTCAGGTGTGTGAGCTAGAACTTTCACAACTGGTTTGGACATGTAATTTGAGGTGTTGGCAACTACTCTATGTGATCTAGCTCACGTGTAAAATATTTTAGATTGTTTTTAAAAACCCAAGTTTCCTTTGGAATGTTTCGCAGGGCCCAGCACAACCTGCCAAGAGGACTCATGTTCCAATCAAGGTGTCTGCTTACAGCAGTGGGATGGCTTCAGCTGTGACTGTAGCATGACTTCCTTCAGTGGGCCACTCTGCAATGACCGTGAGTACCACAGTGTACCTTGTCACTCCTAGCTACCATTCCTTATTCAAGGTCTAAAACTGGGAGTCCTTATGTTCTATGCACCTGAGCTCTCATAACCAAGGGAAGCAGTTCTTTCTACAGGAAGGACATTTCCCACATATTAAATTACTATTCTGGGACGTCATTATCTAAGGGCTGTGATGATGATGATTCTTTAGATTTCAAATCTAAAGGTTTATTTGTTTTTTTTTTTTTTTCATGAGTATCAGTCATGTTGTTCAAAGGAAGTTTTTTCATTTCCTATATTTGGTGATTCTCCTCTAGTTTTTGAAACTTCTGTAGTGCTTTATATTAAATTGTGTTTAATTTTGTGAGATCATTTCTTCAGGACTGTGATTTTGGTGACTGGCTCCAAGAGTTAAATTTTTCTCTATTTCTATATCTAAGTCCACTTTTGCCTTCACTTTAAAAACAATGTATTTAATCTTTGTCCTTCAAGTACTCTCCCTTGTTTTTTAGCCCTTCATATTTTCTTCTTTCATTCCTTGATGTAAGAATGACAATGAAATGCAGCGTTTGCATTATATCAGATCATACCTGCTAGTGTCTTATCTATATTATAGCAGCCATGGTGGAATTAATTGGTCCTTAGGACAAAGTTTTGCTTCTTAACTTTCACATCATCTTGTTTTAAAGCACTTTATCAAAACGCGAAAAGCATTTCCTAAAACGCATTTCCTTCGGCTGTATTAAAAGAATATCCCTGACAAAGCCTCCTGCTTGCAAAGTAGATTACATGCTTTATGTTATAAATACTACAACTTGCAAAGCTAATGTTCTAGGTTATAGGATAGGGAATGCCATGATTAAAAGTCTGGGGTTTCACAGCAGCAGGGAAAATTGAGTGTGGACTTAAATAATGTCTAGAGTTTGTTCTTTCTGACCTTTATCAATTTGGACTTTATTCATGTCAGTAGATATGTATATAATACCTTCAAAGGTGGAGTCAAACTAAATATTCCATTGAACTGAGTTGTTGAGGCCTAGAAATATGATTTAAAAGCTTCCCATCCAAAATATTGACTATAAATAAGCAAGCAATTAATGCATTACTAAAGAGTAAATTTATACTTGGAAGAAGTCTGCAATGCCCAGGCCATCAGAGATTGAGAACCATCTTTCTCCATTTTACTAGTGTTATCTTCCATCAAATTATAGTAAACTTGAAACAATAAAAATGCATTATTTGTATTGCAAACACTGTATTTCTGCAAAACAAATCACACTTAAAACCAATAACTCTATTTTGAGTTACATAAATAATTTTAAGCAAAGACCCACTAAGTACCAATATAAGCAAAAAACAAAGAATGTGTAACCCTTATAAATGCTTTAATAACAATATGCATATACATCTCTAGAGCAGTAACTTCCTGCATTTGTCCCTGTCCCATAGAAAATGACATAGTTATTTTCCAGGAGGACCAGAAGACTGAAATTCTGTTGACTTTATTATGGCAAATTTTTAGTCCTGAATATGATTCTGACAGATGTATGACTACATGTGGTAGTTGAGAGGGCTTTATGGTATGAAAATATTTTTCATTTTGCTAAAGAACATTTTCTGCCAAATTTTTATTAATCTAGTTTCCATGTTTTACAAAACAGTTGCTATTTGGTTGTGTCAGACTGTGCATCCTCATATACCAGTTAAATATGAAGAATACAATTTTCCGGAAGTATTTGTTGGGCTTTTCCTAAAAGAACATCAAGATCCAACCTTGAGTATCATCCTGTCCAAATCGCTTTTTACAGAAAACTATTTGTATACTGCTCTTGGGTGATAGTAGTAATGATCACAATGATAAAGCTATTTGTTATTTTCTTATAAATAGGTAAATGTCATTCAATAAATATGTCTTCTGATATGCCTCTCGCACAAATCAGCATTAAAATTGCTTTGGAGAGCTCTCGGAATGCATGCATTTTGATTAAATCATTAGCTCCTACTGAATTTTCTGGAAATGGGAAATGATTCCATGATTCTCATCTTGGATTTTCTGGTGATTAGGCTATGTACGCAAAAATCAATATTAAAAGTAATATTTTTATATCGATTATAATTAGTAGAAGGTACAATAGTAATTGTTACTCTGAAGACATGTATGTTGAAGCTTGAAGTATTTTGCCACATTTTCCTCACTTTTTAAATTAGTCCAAATACATCTTATGTCTACATCTCACTGTTTCTCTATAAGAGGCGCAAATAGAATTAATGTGATTGAATTTTATCAAACTCCTTTTCTGTATAGAAAGTGACATTTCTTTTTTATAATAAAGCCATATAGGGCATTTTGTTTATTAATGGAGTTATATCTCTAATGTAGTTTATAATTCATAATTTTGGGACTATAGCCTTCAACTTCATAGGAAACAACAACAACAACAACAGAAAAGGAAATAGGAACAAATATTTTTAATATGGGAAAGAAAACACCACATTAAACATGAGAACCTTTCTCCAAAATGCAAGTTCTAAATGTCATCTATCTGATAATTCCCAAGGAATGAATTATAGTAACTAGAAATTTTTATTTATATTAGCCTGGAGATATAATTAACAATGGGAAGATGGGAATACTTTATAGTATGCAAGTGTAACCTTGGATAAATCATACTATTTAATTGAACTGAAAAGAAGTTTTCAAGAAAGAGGCACTTGCGCAAAGTGATGCCAAATGCTATTTGGAAGAAATGCATTTGTAAGAAATGCTTTCTTCTATGGAAATTTGCCACCTGAGTGACCCACACATTAACCAAAATAGTGTGTGCATGGCATGTAGTGTAGCATACTCAACACTACCAAATTTCAGATCTGCATATCATTTTCTCTGGCTTCTTATAATCCTTTCTTGGTTGTTTCTCCACTTCACTCCCTCCTTCCTCCAATCCATCCTGGACCATTTTCCTAGTTCTGTTCTTCCTTTTTCTCCCTGATTGAAAGGTCACTGGTTTCTCCTGATTCTCTCAACCACAGGCATATTCTTCCTCCTCTGACTTCTTTAGGGATATTTTACTATTTGATCAACCATCACTTTCTACTTTATACTTTCTTCTATCTCATCTCCCTATAAGACTATGTACTTCTCCTGAAACATTTTTTTCCTTTTAAATTTTTTCTTCCTTTTAGCTCATAAGCCCAGTATTTTGTATAGCATGTTTCATGTAATTGGTGATAACAGCAACACATTAAACCAATGTAGACTGAATGCATGAACCTTTCAAAACAATTTCTGGAGCATCCTCAGTGGTCAACACTGCTCTCTAGATTCATCAGTCTGGAGTTAATCAACCTTCATGTTCTAACCCTGGCCTTCATTTTCATACTTGTCTATTGCAAATCCTTGTCCATACGGTGTGTTACTGCCAATTTACTTACCCATGGCTTTTTGTACAGCATTACACTTTCCAATTTCCTCAGTGTTACATATGCTAATCTCTCCACCTGGGGAGTGCTCTCATTCCACCTGGATTGCATTCTTTTCACTATCTCTGCTTGAAAGAGTATCATTTCCTTTTCAACTTCCACTTAAACTATTTTATCCCATGGAAATTTCTTCAGTTCTCTGAGTTGGGCGTTACCTTTTCTTCTTTGGAAATCTTAGGGCAATAGTGTGTTGCACATATTATTTTATGTTGTAAATATTTGTGAACTTTCTCTTGGGTTGATGGTTTATCAAGTGCTTACTGTATGTCAGGTCTGTGCTGAATTTACATTCATTATGTAACATCTACACATCACCAATTCATGCTTGCACATCACTCATCATCATCAAATCAGTATGTTATTCAGTAATTCTTTTCTGCTCTTTCCCATTGGTCCAGAATAGAATATAACCATATTAGCTAATTTAATGTCAGGTTGGAGAAGATGAATATGGCTATGATCACATGGAAAATAGCGAACATAATAACATTGTCACATTACATTAGAATGGAAATGTAGTGTGCCAAATTACAGTTCAGCTGAAAGGATGTCTGTTACCATAAGGGAGTAATACATCATAATGCTGTTCTTTTGGTGCTATAACTTAGGAGGGTGTGGGCTCTGCTAATAAAAAGACTATTTTCAGAATTCTAAACTTGGACAAGGGAAAATCTGATACAAATTCATTATGATGAGAATTACAAATATTCACAGAAGCAAGGATAAAGTATATTTGACTTTTTTTTTTTTACCATGGCATTTATAAATATCTTAAGCTTTGTTTCTTATTTTATTGTTTGGAAAGAGAATCAAATATTCAAAGTAATGGAAGTGAATCATAATATATGTGAAAAAAGTATATCCAAGAAATAACATAATAAATTTCTCTCCCTCCTTGAGCTACCAATAGCATTAAGTTGTGGACTGACTTGCTGTTGGAACCATATAGGGCTAAATTCACAATTAGCTATATCCATAGACAGATACTTATTGTAATTGTAATGAGTCTTATTAACCTCGAATCACTCAAGCATTTCTAAATGATGGTCCTTAAGCTTTTTAAAGCAATGTATAAGCAATATTTACTGATAATACCTCCAAGAATCTATCTGTGGGGAACAGGGTCAGATCTATCTCAGGTTAAACTATAAAGGATTAAAACACTGTTCATAGCCAGCCAGAAAATGCAACAAAAGACAGAAAAGAAAGCATAATACATGGCAGAGAAATGTAATACATAACAGAAGTGCTATCTTCTCCTATTTTATATAAATTTATTTTTGTTCTTCTTATTGGTAATAGACATCATAAAAATAGATACATGAAAGGAACTGTTGGTATTTTCATATTGCACTCAGGCAGCTAGATCATAGTATAGACTATGTTTATGTAAGAAGTGGGAAGAAAAATCTCAAAACAGTAGAACAGAGCTTTGCTTCATTTCAATTATCTAGATCAGTT